GAGGTGTGTGAACTGCCAGTACTGCCTGTTGGGGTTCTCTGGGTTCTTCTTCCATCCTCCATAGTCTTGATTGTGTGTGAGGTGTGTGAACTGCCTACTCGCCTGATGAGTGAATGAATGGAGTATCTTGTTTGCCATGTGATCTCTCTCTACAGTGCTTTGTTTATTTCATTCTGAACGGCGGTAGTCTACAGGTTCTTTCTAGGGCAAAATTTCGTTTTTCAATTCAGTAGGGACAGAGTAGGTCTCTGTGGAACTCTTGTTGGTTGGGACCCGATTCTGACTCCACTGGGACCATTTGGGAGTCAATGGGACCGGGCCCAAACAAGAAGGGCCCCTCAGGCCAAATCTGTTGACGGCAGTTACCTTGCTCTATCTGATTGGGATACTGACTTTATGCTTTCGGACCAGGACACTCCCTGCGGAGGGGATCTCCGCTGGGACGTTTTATCCGACTTTACCGCACAATCCGCCGCCTGACTCGCACCTTATACACCACTCAATTCTCTCTTGCATTTCGCTGTACATCTTGAATCTGATTTGTTGTGTTTTCACGGAGCTGAGGCTGGCTAGGCTTGGGAGGACCCCATACGTAGTCAGTCCAGACTGTGTGGCTGGATCAGATCTCTCTGATCTTCTTTTTTTTGTTTTAATGACTGCTCTCCAGTCCAAATGAATTGCCGCTCCGGCTAGGAGTTCTACCTTCTCTTCTGACTGATTTCAAACTGTTTCTTCCATTGGGTTCTTTAATGCCTGTGTCTACACGATCGCAAACGAGAGAGAGAGAGAGAAGAGAGAAGCTTCTGAGTGTTGCTCTTGAGGGAGTAAGGAGAGGGAAGAGGAGTGTTCGTCCCAGGCAAGTGAGGAAGTACGGACCCCTCTTGAGAGACTTATTGACACCCTCATCCTCCATCATGGCATCTGCAGCAGATTGGAAGCTGCAAATGGACGCTGCCCCTGAGGCAGAGAAAGCGCAATACCGGTTCTTCTACAAGAAAGCATTGAAGAGGGAGGAGGAAGAGAAGGAGAAGGAGAGGGAGGAGAAGGTAAAGGCTCATGAAGCCATCTTTTGTACCTTACCTGCCCTAACCGATGAGGAGGTGGAAGAGAAAACCGTTCCACTCCTCCAGGCTTTGGTGGATGTCCGGACTGTTGAGGACCACGCTGGCCAACTCGCCAAAGTATTCGACGAGCTTAAGAAGTTGCGCGAGGACATGGCCCTGATGGCGCAGCAGCACCGTGACCAGCTGCAACAACTTGCTAATGTGCAGCCAGCCCAAAGCACCCTTCCATCTACCTACCCTGCTTCAAGTGCTGTGTGTCAGTCTGTTTTTGCCCCTCTAAATGTGTCTTCTTCTACTTCTTCTTCATCCTTGAGTGTGGCTAACAGCCAATCCGGATCTGCAGCAGGTCCAAACCCCGCTGCTGCTGCTGCTGCTGCTGCCGCAGCGGCAAGTGGTGGTGCAGGGAATTCTGGAACTGTTGCAGCCCCGGGCCCGGACCCAGCAATGGCTGGGCCAGGCGGTAGCTTTGCTTACATCGACAGGAAGGCGGCGCAGATTCCGTCCAAGTATGACGGAAAGGACGACATCGAGTCTTGGATCAGCTCCATGCGATCCTACTTTAATGTATTGGGGACACCCCCGTCCACTCAGTCGTCTATCCTAGGGACCAATGTGGAGCCCGTCGTGAGACGTTTTTTGGAAACCCAAGCTATCCAATCAGGCTATAAGAGAATAAACCTGAAAAAATGGCTAAAGGCTACGCCTACTGCCGCACTTGAGGATCTCTTGATCAAACAATATGCTGATCCACATGCTGCAGCTAAAGCAAGACTTAAGCTTGACAAGCTCAAGCACAGCAAGTGAATCGACACCATGCACAACCTACAGCAGTATGTTAGTAAACTCTTTGCTACTCCGGATCTGGAGATGACTGCGCAGTCCTGTCTGGATGTGATAAAAGGAACGGTCCCCTCTACTCTGAAAGATCGCCTAGGGCTCGGGCTCAGCGGATATACAGATTGGCTTACCCTCATGCGGGACTTAGTCAAGCTGGAAGGACAAGACCTCCCGGGTGGATCAAGTGGCAAAAAGGCCACCATCCGCAAACGGTTTCCAGGCAGCAACCGTTTTGCAGCACATGATCTGCTTGAGGCTGACGAGGAGACCCTCGTGGATGAATCTTCTCTTGATGACGATCAAGAGCAAGACTGCGGGGCATCTTGCTCTTTGTCAGCCCATGCGTCTGAGTACGTAAATGACGATGACTCTATGAATACCTTTAAAAAGACTGCCTTTAAAAGTAAGGGACCGAGGACCACAATGAAGAACAACACTAACACTATCCTTCTTCCCGAGGGAGCAAAGATTCCACCCAAACCGGAAGATCCTGCCGCAAAACCATGGGTCGATCTCCGGATTAGTGAAAGTGAGTGGAAGAACAGAGTGAAGAGAGGAGTTTGCCTGCATTCCACCAAACCGGGACATTCAGTCCAACAATGTTTCAGATTGCAGCAGGGAAACCAGCAACGGGGGTAGAGGCATCATCAACACACTCTACAGATGGAGAGGCGGAACATGTAAGTACAGATCCTTCTTTGGATTCTGATCCCACTCAGCAAACCTCTCCTGAAACCCCATCATGCTGATTCCAAGGCTGAGAAGATCCACATCCTATACAAGGAGCCTTGGGTAGAGTCGGAAGAGATTGATTTCATACTCTGTTGACGCGTTGGGCTCATATGAAGCAAGAACGCGTGCAAGGGAGAACGAAGATGATTTTCTTCAAACTCTACATTAATGGCCGTTACATCCGTGCGTTGGCTGATTGTGGCGCAACCGCCAACTACTCCTCACCGCACGACATTCGTAAGGCACGCTTGGGGATGAAGCAAGTGACTTTGCAAAATCCTTGTCGGACCCAAGTAGGCAACCAAGAGGTTGTCACATCTAGCAAGAATGTGTCTTACACATGGGATGGGGAATGCATGACAGCCTTCGCAGCATTAAAGGAGGCTTTGGTGAGTCATCCGGTGCTCCGCATTGCAGATCCCAAACTCACATTCGTAGTAACTACGGATGCCAGTATGTATGGGATTGGTGCAGTGCTGCAACAAGATGACGGCGACGGCTTATGTCCGCTAGAGTTTTACAGCAAACGTATGCCCAGTCACAAGGTAGCTGCCTCCACCTACATGCGAGAGCTCTATGCCTTGAGAGAGGCACTAGACCACTGGAAGCACTACCTCTTGGGTCGCCATTTCAAGGTGTTCTCGGACCATGAGACCTTAAAATGGGTTCAGACACAGAATAATCCCTCAACTACGCTGACCCGTTGGTTGCATGAGATTGTTGTGTATGACTTTGAGATTAAGCACAAGAAAGGTTGTTACAATCGCGTTGCGGATGCTTTGTCGCGCCACCCGGAGTACATGACTTGCCTTGTGGGTTCCTATGACCTGCGTAAAAATCTGAAGGAGGAACTACTGCCAAGGATCCGGAACTCGGTCCCATCCTTGAGCAGGGTTGACCCTAGCAGTCAGCCTGATTTCCATGAATGTAAGGGCCTTCCCTTCCAACGTTATGGGAAGCATGACCGATTGTGTGTGCCCAACCATGAGCCGATCATGACTCACTTCTTGGACTTGGCTCATGGCCGGAGTGGACACTTCGGTGTTGAGAAGACATACGGAAATCTGTTTGAAAAGTTTGTGTGGCCTGGAATGAAAAGAACAACGCAAAGGTTTGTGGCTGAATGTGAAGTCTGTCAACGCATCAAACCGTCTCGACAGAAGCCCTATGGGCTGCTGCACCCTCTTCCTATCCCTGATGGCCCGGGTGAGTTTGTTTCCATTGACTTCACGAACATGGGGAAGAAGAGCGGAAACAGTTATTCACAAGTAATGGTGATCGTCGATCGTTTTTCCAAGTTTCTGAATCTAATCCCATTACCACCTCACGCCCCAACTGACCTTGTGATCGAAGAATTCAACAAAAGGTACATTCTGCAGTGCGGKCCCCYGAAGACTCTTGTGAGYGATCGGGATACCARRTTCATAAGTGCAGATTGGAARGACTTCACCTCCCAGACCTACGACATGAAACTCAAGATGACGTCTGGTCGACACCCCGAAGCCAATGGACTGGCCGAGGAGATCAACCAAACCGTGATCCAACTTCTCAGGGCTCTTATCGTGCCTGACCAAAACTCTTGGGATGAGGAGTTGCCGATTGTGCAGGGGTTGTACAACAACTCCATCCACTCTTCCACCGGGATGACGCCTAACCGGCTGCACCTCGGATGGAAAATCGACAATCCCCTACCCTATCTGTTCCCGGAACAGCCACCTGGCCTAACACCTGGCCAGCCAGGCTACAGTGCTAAGTCCGATCGTTTGCTCAAAGTCGCTGTCGCGGCTATGGAGAGGCGACACAGTGCTATGATTAAGCATGCAAACAAGAAACGCCAGCCTGATCCCTTCACAGTGGGAAGTTATGTCTGCGTCAAGATGTCTGAGTTTTTTGAAGAAGAAGGCTTATCACGGAAACTTCTTCCTCAGTATTACAGTCCCTGGAAGGTGCTGAATCGAGTAGGTAATGATTCTTTCGGTCCTTCTTACACGATTGATGTGCCTGCTGATCTCCGCACATACCCAGTCTTTCACGCATCAAAGTTATTTCCGTATGAGCCACCTGAGACATTCAAGTACCGAGAATCGATAATTCCCCGCGCAATCAATGGCGGTCACGAGGTTGATAGAATTGTCGAGCACAGTGGGAAGGGAAGAAACAGACAATACGAAGTCCATTTTCTCTACCATCCGTTGGATGATTTCTACTGGATTGCTAAGAAGGATTTACTGCAGAGTGCACCGCTCGTCGTTAACGCCTATGAACGATTGATCAGCTCTGAACAGCAGCCAAAATTCACTGCTACCCTGACCCCTACGGAACACACCCGATCTCTCTTTGCTATCTACTCCTATGATGCATTATGCAAGGACTCTGCTTGAGTTACTCGCTCGAAGGGACCTCGCTCTTGAGGGGGGGGTAGTGTAATGACCTGTCAAAACACAGACTGAGAACACTGCTGATTTATGAAGTTCTGCCGATGGAATGGATGCCTTGCTGATATTCCTGCATTCTGCTATGTTTCTAAGTCTGTCTGTGTGTGTGCGTGCTTGTGACCTGCATGCCTGTCTGAGTGCTTGCTGGTATGAGTGTGTGTGGGACCCGCAAGGGTACTTGCTTGTTTGGTAGGCCCGTAGGGCTGGTACTTACCTGTGGCCGTGGCATTGAGGGTTGTAGCAGGGAAAAACACTCAAGTGGCGAAGCTAGCGGCCCTGAGTCCCTTGGGGTAGCGGAAAAACACTCAAGTAGGCCGGTAGGCCGATACTGCACCCCACTACAGTTGGCGTGAGGGGGTACTGGAGGCCGAGCAGAAAAAGACGAAGTTGCCATTTTTAGAGTGCAGTAGCGGTAGGATAGGTCTAGGACGGTACCAGTCCAACCAGTCTGAGTCTAGAGCCTGTATGGGTAATATCAGAGTCTGCAATGATGTTTCCCTCCGAAACGGAGGAGGTACCGGTTGCTTGGAGAGGCCGAGCGGCCTGGAAGTCACCGCCCAGGAGGCAAGTAGTCCGCTATATCAAGAGGCAGGGCGGAGAGCCCGGCCTCATTCTTCAGTGTGCGAGTTGGGCGTCACGCTGCTGGAGCGCTAGGTGGAGGAGCGCTGAGCTCTACAGCGCTGCTGGRAGGAAGAAGCCGGGAGCTTCCACCTTGGCTATGGTGGAGCTCCACCAGTAGGAGGAGGAGGAAGAAGGGGACCGAGGAGTGTGGCGAGGTACTTACTGGCTATGGTAGACACCATCTTCATCTCCTTGCTAGGCGCTGCATCAGGAAGACCCCAGTGGAGGTAGTGCCGCATCAAGGAAGCTCGGGACAGAGTCGGGCATGGTGGCTGAGTGGACAACGACATAGCTGCATGGTGATGACCCAGACTCCGTTTTCATTATGAAAATGTGTTACGTCAAGATTTGTTATTAAAACTTCATTATACGACAGCCTGGCGGCTGCCTCGATTATGTAAAATCATAGTAGTTGAAGTGAGGCAGCAGCATAGCTGCTTTGAGTGGTCCTTTGGACAGGAGGCTGGAGCCTCAGCAGTCCACCATAGCCTCAGCCTGTATGTAGAGGAAGAGGAAGGGTTGCCATGGCTATGGTGGACCTCATCTTGTGCCTGCAGTAGAAGTGGGATTCGGACATTGATTCTGGTTCAGCTGTTCAACATTATTATTGTTTATTTATTGTTTGGATAAGAGAGGAGGAGATAAAGAGGAGGAGGTTGTTGAGCGAAGAAGAAGAGCTTTGTCTTTGGTCTATGCTGGAGTACATCATCTCTTTCTTCTTTCTTAATTCTTCTTCTTCTTTTTTCCCTCTCTTTCCTCTCAAGTTCTTTCATTTCTTTTGCAATTGGACGACATTGGGCTCAAGTTCATTCATTTCTTTTCGCAATTGGACAACATTGTACTTTCTGATGATTGTGGACTTCGAAATTGGCCAGGATGTCATGTGTCTTTTACTTAACTGTTTTTCGTACCTGAGAGACCTGAACCTGGGACCTACGAGTAGAGTCTCTGTTAGCCCGGAAAGGGATTATGCCATTTCTGTTTTTGCTGCCTAAAGTGATTGACTAGAAGTCTAGAACTTGTAGGGTCTTGTCATTGTTGTTTTCGCCTGAGTGGCGATCCGGGCCGCCCGGGTCACCGGCAGAGGCCCGGGGGAGGTCCCAGGCGGCCTGGCCGGGCAGGGCACCCGGTTGGGGGCCGGCCCCCCCCAGCGCACTTACCTGTCGGGGGATTTCGGACCCCCTTACTGTGTGTGTGTGTGTAGTGTGTGTGTGTAGTGTGTGTGTGTAGTGTGTGTGTGTAGTGTGTGTGAGAGAGAGAGAGAGAGAGGTTCGAATCATGCTTGAGGCGCATCTCATGGGCGGGGTGCCGCACGCGCATGCAGAGACGCACAAGTGATGCGCCCCATTAAAAAAGTAAAAAACAAAAGTGTCCTTGTTGTGTCCAGCCTCTTTTCGGAAGGATCCCTACAACATATTAGCCAGGAGCCGATGTCATGGAGAGATACACTTCAAACTTGTCCTCCCTGAGGGTGGGCAGAGAATATATAGTCTGGATTCAAATTCAGGTCTGTGCATGTCTGTTGTGTCACTATTTCTCTGTTTTCTCGCTTTTCTGTTCTTTTCTCATTTTTCTTTTCTTAGGAATACGTGCAGTGGCCCTAAGGGCCTTTACTCACCAAATGCACAAAAGACAAAACATATGGTGGCGTATTATTCCACATTCTGCAGAAGATTCATTCTAATTTTGCACATTTCGTGAGTAGTGCAGCCAAGCCCTAAGAGTCACGTGCACAGACCAACAGGGCCTAGCTACGTGAGCAACCCATAACTGCTGAAACATTGACCTGAATTTGAATCTCGAGTATATATTCGGCCAGCTCATGCTCCATTTTATATTCATCGACTGCCTCGATTCAGGGGGCGGGGGGGTCTGCGCTACATGTCTGCAAGGACCCTTCAGACAGCCTGCATGGGCCGTCTAAGCCGTGTTAAGGGGATCCGTTCTCTCTCTCTCTCTCGCGCGCGCGCGCGCGCACCCCCCCTTGTATACACACACACTCTTTACAAAAATAGAAAACAAAAAAAAATGCATCTGCGCCCCATCACAGACACCCCCCCAACCCCAGCACTCCCGCGCACCCCCCCTTGTATACACACACACTCCTTACAAAAAAAGAAAAAAGAAAAAAATGCATCTGCGCCCCATCACAGGCACCCCCCCAACCCCAACACTCCCCACCCAGACCAAACCCCCCAACCCCACACCAAAACCAAAATTTTATTGCAGATTCGGGGTCTTCTCGCCGAGCGCAGAACGACCCCGGTTTCAAAAAAAAAAAAAAAAAAGATTCTGGGCGGATTTTGTTCCCGCCCGGTTTACCCGGGCCCATCCGGCCAGGCCCAACCCGACAGGGCAGCCCCGGTCGGGCGACGTCCTCACACAGGTTTTTGCTGCCTGACGTGAATGACTAGAACCATGGTTGCCCCGGACATGGACATCCGGACAACCGGACACATGTACTGACCCGTGTCTGGATAAAACTGGACGTCCGGTTAATTGGACATACGTGTTACGAACATGATTGTCCGTTGAAATTTTATCAACGCTCACTCACAGGAACTCCCGTACACGCCCATACACGCACAGAAGGAAGGGGAGATGTAGTGGAGGGTCACACCGCCCAGAAAAGAAAACACAGCGGAAGACTCAAAGAAGCGAAGTGACAGAATACACAATTCCGTGAATTCTCTCCACACAGAAGTCCCAACAATCATTCATAGAAGACAAGCGAGTGATCACAGTTGGAAATCAATGAAGAGATGACAACTCAAACAGAGTATTACAACTGTTTATTAAACTCTGAGCATCGTCTTCCCTGAATAACCTCAGATCCCTGTTGCGCTACCCTCAGCGGGGTAGCGCCTCAACCCCACACGCACCGAGCAGCTAAAAATAGCACCAGAACCCCAGGTAACACCCAGCGCCACCCTGACATCCAACTCAGTGGCCTGCGCCAAGATGAAACACGCTCCCAGAGCCAATCGGCACCCAGATGATGAAGAAGAAGCTCAGCGCCAACAGTCCCTGATGAAGATGAAGTCCAGACGATGATATCCTCTGAGAAGATGCAGCTATGGCTGCATCGCCACTGGGACCCTACTCCAGAGGAGGGTCAGCAGTGCACCACGTGCTCCAACGCCTCAGACCTCTAATAGCCCAGACCGCTTTGACTCCCAGAGGGTCAGAGCGGACAACGTTGACCCTAGTCTGGTCAGCGCTCCGTAGGTCTGAATATGTCCGCCGTCTCCACCACCGGAATCAGCAACCACGACCTGATACCGTGTGCACAACAACTTCCACCACAAAGTGTCAACTGCCAAAAGCCCCAGACCGATGTCCCCATCCTATCTATACCCTAGACTAACCCACACACGACCTAGACCGGACCGACTGACCGACCGGTACCGTTTCTGTTTCGGCCTCTAGGGCCTCTCCCTACCCGGCTATAGGACCGTCCATCAGCGTAGGCCCATTGGCCCTGTCTGTCCTAGGGGTAGCTCGGGTCTGCTATTCGCAGCTAGGGTAACTGTAGGAAATGTGAGCTAGTACTAGGCCCATATCTCCTATATTTACAAACATGTGCCTCACAGGGTTGGTCCCCAGATGGACCGGGGACCCCTACCCCATCCGCGGTCCTCTTGGTTCGACCGGCCGGTGGCCCGGGCCAGTTGCCTCCCGGTTGCCCCTAGCGCATTTTTGCAAGGGGCTGAATTTTTTTTTTTTGTCGACGCCTATGTGTTCGCGAGGCCTCGTGGCGGTGGGCCCTGCCCCGCAATTTTGAAACCGGGTCCTGTAGGCCCGGATTTTTCAAGTCCAGAAAGTGGCCAATCTTGACTGCCGATCGTCGAAGATCACCGGCAAAGATCGGCCAGGACCCCATTTCTTAAGAAAACAGTCAGAGGATATCCGCCGCTGATCTGCGCAGATCAGCAGCGGAGAACAGCCACGCATTTTTCCTAAGATGTGGGTCCAGTACGCCCCTTCTCCAATTTGTCATCTCGTGGTCCAATGGACCAGTTACCATTGGCAACATCTGATGCTCTGTCACCCTCAGCCGCGAGGGGAACACTATGCTTCTGATGAGACTCTGCTGAGATTATATCCTTTTGCGACGTCCATGCCATCTGTGGGAAAAGTTATGGGTTTGGATTTTGGAATCGTGATTTCAAAGCCTTGGGAGGTGCAATCCCAAGAATGGGCCTAAGGTATATTCTTCTCTCTATCTATATCGAATGGACCTTGCTCCACTACATGTATCTGGACAGACTGGCAGGCAAGATACTTTCGTACTGACAAGTCACCTTATGTAGAAACCAACAAACAGAAAACGCTCTGCCTCCACGAGCTGAAAGTTGGAACCATAACTTTTCTGCTGCCGAAATATACTC